AGTCAAAGAATTGAAATGTCATTCCTTTGGCTGGCTTAAGATACCCATTTTCTGGAATGTCTGTGATTTTTGTTGTTGTTGTTGGGACTGCGGTTAATATGCAAATTGACCCTAATCGGTAAAACAATCAGAATGACTGGAACAACCAGTCACTATGATGTACAATGACCACCAGGGAGCAGACAATCAACGCGAGAGCTGCCCCCTGGTGGTCAGTGCACTTCCACAGGGGGAGCTCTGCTCAGCCGTGAGCGGGGCTGACAGCTGCAAGAACAGCAGCGGAGGTGGCAGGAGCCTCTCCCACCTCCTCAGCAGCACTAAAGATGTACAACTGATGGCAGTAATACATCCTCCAAGGGCTCCTGGGCTGCCAGAGGGATGTCTGACTGCCAGCTTAGGCCTGATCCCCCAGGGAGCGGGCCTAAGCTGGCAGGTGGACATCCCCCGAGGGGTCCTGGACTGCGAGAGAGTGCAAGCCAGGCTGAGGGACCCCACACCCCCGAGTGCATGAATTTTCATGCAACAGGCCTCTAGTATATTATACATGTCTAATTACCATTGTAGATTAAATGTTTACTCTGAGAAGGACACAAGGAAAAACTGCATTAAACAAGATTCTTGAGTTAATTATAATTTGTAATATAAAACAAAAGCACATTATAAAATTTTACATTTTCTCTTACCTGGTTTATTTTTATCATCCTCTGCGGTACTAAGAATATTACCTCTGCAAGCACTAAAAGGCTGACTACTCAAAAGGTTATCACATTGCATGCTATGGCACAAGTTTTCAAGAAAGCGAAGAGCAAATGATGCACTGTTCACTGGAGGGAGCTGGATGGAATGAGTTTCCCCATCAAAGGTGGCTATTACAAGAAAACATATGTATTAGAATTATATCACAGAAAGATGAGAACTAGAATGATTATCCAAAAAAAGCCATCATATTACATTTAGGAAATGTAATATAACTCTAATTTGTGGGGGTTTTATAATTTACGAAGGAATAACCTTAAATTATAAAAGTTCCTCCCATTAAAACATAACAACTTATATTTGTGAAATCATTCTCATTTAAAAATATTCATAAAATAAACAACAGAAACCCACTCACTGATCTATAACACTTTCTACTATTTCAAACATTGCATGTGTACAAATGTCACAGTATCTGACCCAAAATCATGAAAGCTGTGTAATTATCTCTGAATCACTTCTTGAGTTACATTTTTATTTAGAGCTTCTTATAAATCAGTCTGTTTTCTAAAAAAAATTAAAATTTATTATCATTAAGGTACTTTGTACATGAGCTTAACAAAGCATGTAAAAGAAAAAATATCTGTACCTTTTGTCTCATGTTACAGTATTACTCTGACATTGTATATTTCAAAAGTAAAGTTAAACTGGGTTACAAGTCTATAAACATGTAACTACTATATTCTAATATATCAATATAATAAATATTCTAATATTATAAACAGTTAAAAGAATAGAAATATTGTAAAATAATCTACATATTATAAAATCTTTGCCCTCTGAAAATCAAATTAGGAAAAAAATCTGAATAAAGAATTAGATGAGCATACCAGTTATTACTTCTCCTCCACGATTATCTGCCTTAAGGAATCCAAAAACAGCCTTACTGTCAATGCCACAATCCACACAAGCCTGCACAGTACGCCGGAGCACCACATTCACAGGGCCCGGGCCAAAGTGGTCAGGCAACTGCTGGATTTTATTCTGATCCAGGTAAGGGCCACAGTCTCCATGTTTATTTATATAAACACACACTTGAGAAAAAATGCGAATACAGAAATAACAATTAAATTAGTTAACAAAAACATAAATATATATTCAACTACAATATCCCACAAGTCATAACTCACTCTAGAGAACCTAAATACAGTTAATATCAGTGATCACTTATTCTACCTAGAATATGTATCTGAATATATTTTTATATTTATGTAAATATATTAAAACTAGAAAGATATAATCCAAATGCTTATGCAATTTTCTAGCATTGTGCCCAAACTGATTATAATAAAAACTACAAAACAATTCATTATACATTCCCACATTATATAACATGACAAACATAGATGACTATTTTCACCTTTTAACTGTACACACAGTATAGACATTTTTTCAAGACTGGTCATGTTAGAATAGAGAGTCCAGAAATACTAGTAAACTCAAGCCTAATATGGTCAATTAATCTATGACAAAGGAGGCAAGAATATACAATGTGGTAAAGACTGTCTATTTAACAAAAGGTGTTGAGAAAACTGGACAGTACAAAAAAAATGAAACTAGGCCACTTTCTTAAACCACATACAAGAATAAACTAAAAATGGATTAAAGACTTAAATATAAGACACAAAGCCATAAAACTCCTAGAAGAAAACATAGGCAGTAAACTCTTTGACATTGGTCTTGGTAATATTTTTTCTGATATACATCCTTAGACAAGGGAAACAAAAGAAAAAATAAATACATTCCTTTTGCAATTGCAACAAAAAGAATAAAATACTTAGGAATAAACTTAATAAAGAATGTAAAGCACCTATTTACTGAAAACTACATGGCATTATTAAGAGATTGAAAAAGACACAATAAAATGGAAAGATATTCCAGATTCATGAATTGGAAGAATTAACATAATTAAAATGGCTCTATTACCCAAAGCAATAATCAGATTTCATGCAACCCCTATCAAAATCCCAATGTCATTTTTTAAAGAAAGAGAATAAAAAGTCATCAGATTTGTATGGAACCACAAAAGATCCCAAATAGCCAAAGCAATCCTGAGAAAAGAATGAAGCCAGAGGTATCACACTACCTGACTTCAAATCATACTACAGAGCAATGATAAAGCATGGTATTGGCAGAAAAACAGACATACAGACTAATGGAACAGAATTGAGAGCCCAGAAATAAAACCACATGTATATGGGTAAATAATTTTTGACAAAGGAGCTAAAAAATGTACAATGGGGAAATGAAAGCCTCTTCAATAAATGGTGCTGGGAAAATTGGAAAGCAACATGCAAAAGAATGAACTGGACCACAGTTTGTCCCCATGTACAAAAATGAATTCAGAATGGAACAGAAACCTAAATATAAGATCTGAAACAATAAATTGCAGAGAAGAAAACATAGATACTAAACTTAAAGACATTTGTCGAAGACAAATTCCAGCATGTCATAATGTCAAGAGTTTCAAAAGGTTGATGAAACTTGGGGACTCAACAGGGTTGAGTCACACATGTAGTCACGTGTTGGGAATGGCTGAAGGCATTTCCCCAAACCTGAAAAGGGATTATTGCTTGGCTGCCAGACAGCTAAAAGGCATCTCAATCTACATGCTATTACCTCCTACTGGCTAAACATCTGAACGGCCATAGGCTATTCCCCAAACTGACAATGCTTCTGTACCCTTTGAAATCTTACCCTTTGAAGTGTATTACCTCCACCTTGCCTTAGGACAAATCCTATCTAATAAAAGACAAAAGGGTAATTGACCGTACCTTTGCTACACTTCCCATTGGCTAATCAGGGTGATATGCAAATTAACCACCAAACAAGATGGCAGTTAATTTGCATAACTAGGCTCCAAGTGGTGGAGCGAAGCCAAACAGCTGGAAGCCAGCCAAGCAGGAGGCTTCCCTCTCAGGATCAGTGGAGCCCCGAGGCCTCACAGCTCCTGGATCAGCAGAGCCAGAAGGCCTCACAGCCGGGATCAGTGGGGCCTGATGGAAGCCCGTGTGTTTATGCACCCTGGGGGTGCAGAGGTCCTGTCCTAGGCAGAGGCCGATTGCCCAACTTCCGACTCTGAGAAGCGGCCTAGGGGCTGGAAGGCGGCTCCTCTGACCTCAGCACTGGAGTCCCGCTGCTCCTACCAGGAGAGGAGCAGAGAAAGGCCGGAGCCTCCTTCAAGGTGACACAAAATCCACACACACACCAGGCAGGCTGCTGGGACTGTTGGTGGAGGACT